ATAACATATCTTTAGTTATATTAAAAAAAATCTCCTTTAAAAAGACATACCTTTTTTACACTTTTTACCACGAAAACCACATAACGGTTCATCAAGCGGTACTTGCCCAGCTGGCCATTTTATGTTGCGCTTGAAACGAATTATCGGAATCTCACCACCCGAATCATGAACAAAATCAGCTGTTATCGATAGCCCATGGTTGAGTGGATAATAGTCTGGATTATTCAAATCCATCACGGGCTGCACTTCTTGCAGCGACAACAATGTGTAATTACCCTGTGTATCGCCATTATTGTTGATATGCATATCAAATCCTTGAATACCTGTAAACAGCGATGCAAAACGAAATTCGTTTCGATAATAGATTGGTATTGGTACATACGTACAACCCAGAATCGTTACTGTTTTTAAACAAATCTCAGATGAAAAAATTATGGGGTGTGACTGATGCTAGCTGGCACCTACTGAGCTGTTTTTGAGCGTTTTCTCTTTTCATACAGGATAAGAAGCGGTGGAAATTTTGACTTATTACATAAAAGCAATCGCCCAAGCTGCTATTGAAAAGCAGAGAGATCACTAAAAATACACCAAAATGTCGGGCAAAATTCCTCCAAGCTCTTCTAGATGGCTTCCGTCATCCCCACCTTGTATGCGTGCCGTGCCTTCGTAAGCTGATCGAAGGGCATAGAAAATGCATTTATTTCTCCTCGAAGAACAAATTATTTCAGTTCCTCAGTGCCCTAAGCGATATTATCAAGGTAATGTGTACTAAAAAAAATTGGACTTGTTATGCAACAAGAATGAGAGACAACAGATGGATAAAGTGGAATACTGAAAGGTAACCACGTAATGTTAAAACACCATGAGGAAGAGCATCAATGCAAAAAAAAAGAATGCACGTGAGTGCCTAATTATATTTATGAGAGAAGCGCAAAATGAAAAGGAATGGAGAAGTTGCCACCTGCATCAATGACGAAAAGGTACGGGCAATGAAAAAATGCTGATCAAATTATCAGAAAAAAGGATTTTCAAGGCAAAAATTAAAAAATAATACAAGGCATACTTCGATAAACGCGTCCTAGGACATGACTGATAATACGCTTCCCATCCGAGACTGGATCATATCCACCAGCCAGTTGTTCAGATGTTGTTTCATTCATAACCAATGTCAATGCTGCTGCGTACAACTTCACTGCATCGTACAGATAACACGCAAAACGATTTGCCTAAAAAAAGCGAATTTTTGAATTTTTAGAAAAAAACAGCACAGAATGTGTGGGAAATCACCTTCAATCTCAAAAAAAAATCTTTACACTATCCCTGGAAACTTGAAAAACGGAATTAAATTAGATCATACCCCGGTGAATCAATCGCAGTAGCAAAAATGTGCAAAAAACATTAGAAAAAAAATTTTAAAAAATCGAAAAAACTACGAAAATTTCACAAAAAAAAGTTGAAAATTTGGGAAAAAATAAATGCCGCCTACAAACTTATCGAAAAATATAAAAGCACTCACTCCAGCTATGGATTAATATAAGAAAATGAAGAGAAGCACAAAACGGAGAAAAATAAATGAGCAAAATTTAACGGGGAGAACCAAACCGTAAATTTGCTTAGCCACGTACGATAACAAAGCGGCCTTTTATCATCTTGATGATTTTTTGACCATTATTAAAGTTGTCAAGATTTGGAAAAAAATTTATTATTTTACAAAAAAGAAAAATGATTGTAGGGCTTTTCAAAAGAATAAATTTTGAACAGCTAAAAAATTTTTGAAAAAATTAAAAAAAGGATGAATCTGCTCGTAAACTCGCCAAGAAAAATGTATGGGAATATTTAACTAAAAAATGAAGAATTTCGAAAAAAAAAGCCGGGAAAATCCAAAAATTTTACGAATGACTTAAAAATTGAAGAATAAAATTCTTTTTAAAAATTCGCAAAAAGTGTAAAAATGCTAACTTTGATAGAAGAGGATGTGATGTGTCGTTTAACGCCAAACAATGATAAGTGTTGATTAGCTTTACGCCAGAAAGCTGTGAATTCAGGGGCATTCAGCTGTACAGGTGTTGGTATGATTGCCAGGGCTGATTTCGAAAAATTTACCACTTTTCGATCTTGTGAATTCAAATCATCCCACGATTGCTGCACCGAAACCAGCGTATCTAAGCGAAGGAAGGAAGAAATGAGAATATCATGCAAAAAATTAGAATTTTCCTATCTTTCAAATGTCTAATTAATAATACGATTTTCACATTTACCACTATACTTTAACCAGTAAACTATTAAGTATTCTCTGAAAAAATTACCGCAAAAAATTAGATTTGCAAAAAAATTATCAAAAAAAAACACTCGTTACATTAAAACGGCTGCAAAAGTTGTTGTTAGAAAAAGTAAAAGAAAGCTTAGAACCTCGAAAGAAATGATTATTCATTGCATGATAGGTGTTAAGCCAGTTATAATCGGGATCCAGATAAATTAGCACATAATCTCCTGATTCCATCAGACCCTGCGCTCCCATTTCCAGCAATATCCGACGAAATAAACGAACATTTCCAAATGTCAGATAAACTGAAACAGTACTTATCACTTTTCCGGAACTTTTTTTTGAAACCCAAATTTTTTTTTTTTTGAAAAAAATGTTTTTTTCTGGAACCTAAACCTGAAATTTTTCTACATAATGAGGATCAACTTGCAGCTACACCTCAGTAATGTCGTGAGACTCGCACCCAGCTGGTGTGTAAAAATGACTCATATGATCTTGCCGATGAGTGAAAAACTGGATAAAGGAAAAAAAAGCTTACTTCTTGTTGAAGAGAGGGTATGAGAGATGATCTGTTCCACGTTGCTTTGTTCGATTTCGGAGAACGGATGCGGTACAGTACTCACATTCATTATTGTGTAACGTATATCGCCCGCATTTAAACCCAAATTTTGTTTCTCAATCGCACTCTTCAACAAAAAAACTCAGTTAACACTTAGATAAAAAAAGATTTTGGATCTAAACATCATATTTATCAATGAATATATCGCTGAGAATATGTATTTCATCCCTTAGCCACATGTTGCATCATGATTCCCTCCTAGGTAATGGCGCAAAGCCGAATATATAAGGCCGCTATTTCTGTGTTAGAGTGTTGTGTTTTGTTGTGCTGACGACCTCGGTGACCAGCGAAGGACATGGACCCTTTCTAGCCCGAAAAATCACTAAGGAGCTGACGACCAAAAACTCATTTAACACTAAGACAAAGAAGGATATTGGATTTCGAGCAGGCGCTGGAGCATCGGACCAGCGGACGAAAACGAAACTTCCAAAGCCCGAGCTCAACAGGTAAACATAGACTGCAAAACCATTAAACAAAACTCACAGAGCTACTCTTTCCAATGGCTAATTCATAATC